TCAGGCTTAACTGGGCGCAGGGAGATGGAAGGCAGTCCAGGAGAGCTCCTCCTTGGTTTAGGAATCCCTGCTCCATGCTGACTCTCCATCGTGATCACCTGGCAGACTGCAGTATGGGTGCAGACCCATCAGTGATGAAGAAAGGATGGAAAGGGAGAGGGAAGAAAGAAAAAGAACTGAGCACAACAAGAAAACTAGGAACAGTGTACACACTCATATAAAAACAAGAACAATCAAGTAAAAAAGAAAAGAAAACAAAAACAACAACAACAACAAAAGCAGAAAACACCTGTCCACTTCAGGGTGTATCTGCTGTCACTGGTAGACAGAGGGAGCAGACAGAGCCCAGATCGATGTTGACCAATCCTTACAAACCAGCTATAGATTCACAGCAGGGTAGTATATAATCCCAGCAAGCCTGTACTTTTAGTGCCACTCAAGTTCAAGCTGGTTTCTGGCTGTGAGCCTGAAACTCCATTTGTTCAGCCCACAGTACCCCGCGTGCCTCCTGCCAGCTTGCATTCGGCTCCCTGCATGCTTCTACTGGGCTCCTTGAACTCCTGCTGGTTTGAACTGGACCCTCCCTCACCCTGACATTTTGAGCTACTAGATAAAGCCAGCCTACAGTTGCTCTGAGTTTCAAATTCAGTTGGCCTCTTCCAAGAATGCTACTGGCTAATCGCCCTCTCCTTGGGGACATCTGAACCCAAATAACTGCCACTATAATCCGCCATGTCCCCAGACACTTTGCAGCAGTGCATTTCTCCATGGAGGGCTCTGGGGTCACCATTAGTCACTGTGCATCTGCAGGTCAATCTCCCCCCCACACACAAAGAGTCAGAGCTCAGGGAGAAAGTGCTGCGTGCACCTCCTCCTTCCTAGTTGAGGCCTCTCTCTTCACTCTCCTTGTGGGCTTCAATTCTTGCTTTTGAACCACGCTGGGTCTTGGGGACCAGCTTTCCTCCTTTGCTACTTCTTGTTGCCGTATGCCAGGGTCTGGACACCAAATCTCAGAGAGGCTGTTTCTCTGCCATTCAGTACTCTGCGATCTTTCCTAGAAGTCTCAAAGAGTATTTTTCTCCCTTGCATTTTCTGGCCAAAGAGGACTTGTCCATAAATATGAGGTATGCATTCACCAAGTAATATTATTCAGCCATAAAGAACAAAATCACTGGGCTTGTTGGCACACACCTATAATTCCAGTGTTTTGTGAGGCTGAGGCAGAAGGATTGCACATTCTAGACCAGGCCAGCCCAGACAATTTAGCATCTTAGGGAGGCTGTCTCAAAGTAAAATGTTTAATGCAGAAGATTTAATCTAGATCCCTGTCTCTTACCATACGTTAAGCTAAAATCAGAGTGGATCAAAGAACTAAATGTTACAAGAGACGCACTTAAACTGCTGGTACATAAAACTCTTGAAGACATAGTTACAGGCAAAGACTTTCTGAGCAGAATCCCAATTGCACAAGAAATAAGATCAATAATAAACAAATGGTCTAATAGATCCAATTAAAAAGCTTCTGCGCAGTAAAGGAAGTTACCAACAAAGTGAAGACGCAACCTGCAAAATGGGGGGAAAATTTGCTAGCTATTCTTCAAGCAGAGAACTAATGTCTTGTTATGCTATAACTTCAACTTTTTTAGGTTCCATGGCAGATGGTCTTTGCACTCCAGCTCTCCTGTGTCTCCAGCCTCCCATCCCAACCAGGGGCTTTTGAATTTGCCAGCTCCTCTTTGAGGAGTTGGCTCTTGTGAGCCAATTCCATATGTCTCTTTTTGTCTGGAGAAACAACCTCTAGTACTGGTTCTTTTTCTCCAAAGAACCTTAACCAACACAGCTCCCCACTGTAAAATAAATGGGCAGCCAGGCTGGTATGTTCAGTCCATATCATCAAAAGAAATAGAGAATGTGTTATCAGGCATGTGTTAGCTTGTCTTTACCATGACAACATACTTGAGATATCTAGCTCATAAAGTGAAAAGGTTTATTTTGAATCACAGCTTAGAAAGACCTGTACAGGACCAGGTAGACTCATTCCTTTGGGCCTCATGTGGGCATGCTGAATGCCAGAGGTGGCAGGAAATGGCATAGCAAGCTAGGGAGTAAAAGAGGAAGGAGGGCGGGCTGGTGAGATGGCTCAGTGGTCTAAAGCACCTACTTAGAACAAGCTAAGCTAAGCAAAGCACAGGGATCGCGGTTCAATCCCCCAGCACCACATGCCA